CGCAATAAAAATGTAGAAATGTAATAGAACGGTAATCAAAATACTTATATAGATTATACATATGCATTTCTTTTGCTCTCTTTCTTTTGCTTCTTTCCTTTCTGTTTACTTTAATGAAACGTCAATGAACATAAATTGTCATTTTGTGTAACTACATTTTCCAAATTTGAATTTTCTATAATATAACCCGAACCGCGTACCATATCTTCACTGCACATTTCGACTTTGTTAATCACAGCAACGATAGCTCATAAAAGATAACGGTGTAATTTCTTTTTGGCATATTCCTGATTGCCTTTTTCAAAGTTGATTTTTAATTTGGAGCATTCAAACTTTAAACGAATTGTTATTGGATTTTAATTTATTTATTTTTAAAAAATGTTTACTATTTTATTCACTCAATTGATTTTACAATTATAAATGTCTAGAAAATGTGGAAAAGGAGATTATATATTTTGGCACGCGCGCACGCAATATTTTTCCGCCTTTTTTTATAAATTGTTTTGTTTTTCTCAATTATATAGCTCTATTATTATATATATATATATATATATATATATATATATATATTTATATTAATAAACTCATTTCATGCGAGCTTGCACGCGTAGCGCATATGCATATGCGATTCGAACTTTATCACGGTTCTTTATAAGTCATTTCATAAAAATGTAATAATGTGCGAAATTCTCTTTCTATTTTATACGTATATTTAATTGCGTAACTTAACTTAATGATGTGTCTTGATTGTTATAGATTGATGGAAATACCTGGGATCCCTCAGGTAGAGCCTCGGCGGGACGTAAACCTATTTTCCTCTGTCGTAATATTAGATCATATCGAAAGCATGCTGCAAAATTAATGAGAGGAAAAACATCTTTGCTCAATGCAAATCATCCGGACAAGGTCACAGAGTAAGTTACGACTAGTCGCACATTACATATATACATGGGCATACAAATTGTAATTGTGAAACGTGACGTCCTACTATCAAATTACAACATATCGATAACAATATTGCAAATTTGTTACAGATCGGCCGATACTCCAGACATGATCAATTCTGACGAAACGCAATGTAGATTTAATCCCAACAGTTATACTATGCTCTTTATTGCCCTTAAGGACAGATTTCTTTATAAACAAAACTCCATGAATCGTGCTAGACGGGTACGTTAATAATTATTTGAAATGCTGTTTGTGCACTTTTGCACACGCAAATGCATATTTATATATTGTTCGTTACATATCCCATTAGATCTCTCTTCTGTTATATCATTCTGATATTTATTTTCGAGTCTTATTATGCAACATGTTATGAATTTAGTCGTGTCCTTTCTAGTGAAGAAAGGAAAAGAAAGGGAATAGAATCGTATATTTTTTTACAGTGTCATCCAACTGTAACGAAGCGTAAGGATTCCAAATTCCATCATTGGCACGCATCATGGATATCCAAGAACGGTACGGATATTCAGCATCGGTTGTGTCAAGACTGGTTAATGGGACGATACGAGAACTTGATTCCCCACAGAACACGAGTAATAACGGACAACGATCAAACACGTTCCCCCTATCGGCAATACAATCGTTTCCGAGTAGAACGTTTGCAATCTGATCTATTGACAGAGACGTGCATCTAATTTGATTCGACGGAATTTCTTGCCATCATTTAAAATTTCTCAATATCGCTACGCTCGCTACAATTAGTCTTGTATCAGCAAAAATTTTTCTTTGCCGGTTCAGACACAATTAAGACTCGAAGCGGAAATTCTTGAAATACGAGTTTAATTTTGTGCAAAGTAATGAATACTCTATCTTATTGGATACAGACAGCACTCGACATTCAAACAAAGTTTGAACTGATTTAAATCCGATTCCAAGAATGATTAAGAGAATTATTGATAATAACCGTTCGCGAAAATATGTTATATATTGTATCGCGTA